ACAGAACGGGAAGTTGGTCAGGAGTGTGAGACAAATGCCTCAAATTAATATATTAAGGTCGGTGTGAGAATGAGGAAGGAAATTCTGTTGAATGACTTGAAAATCGACAATTCCACTGCCGCGAAAAGTCTTCATTAAAATGGTTTTGGTGACATGTTGTTGCGCGCGCTTTTATCCCAAAAACGAAGAAACATCGCCACATGATGAGGAATTCCTTTGAAAGTGACACTCTCAGTTTCTGCTTTTAATCACTTTCTCACGACTTCTTCCCGAGAAGTGCCTCTGATTTCCCTCCCCGCGACTGAGATGCGAGAGGGACGAATTAATTTATCCCTGGAAAGCAAAGTTGCGAATGTGCGCTGAAATGTGATCTCTCTCCGGCTTGTGAGCAATTTCGGCATTCCTTGGTAATTAAATCATATGGTTTTGCGTCATAAATGGTAGTGACACATTTCGAGGTAGGAGAAGAGCATGGCTTCTGGTCAGTGGGTGGACGTCGTCGTGAATGCGCCAGCCGAGCGTGTGTGGCGACAAGGAAATTTCAGTTTGCGCGCTGAGGAAAATATGGCAGGGACTTTTTGGCGGGAAATCCGCGACGCACTGGGCGTTATTTATTGCGGACACACGTTCCAGCATACTTGATATTCTCTTCAAATCCAATTCCATAAGCGCGCCTCTTCTCGCGAAAGTGTTCAGCAATGAGCCAGATGGCATTGATGGGAATTTATGCGCCAATTTGATTTATGGCACCAAATCAAGTCCGCAGGCACTTGCAGTGCCACGAGAACAACGAGCCGAACATACCAATTCATCGATTAGATGCAGGCAATTGTGGCACTTCGGTGACCAAAGCAAATATCGACAATTCGTCTTACTCAAATTCTCACGAAGGCCTTGGAATGGTGTGGATTTCGATGACGAGTTCTGGCCTTTAATCGTGCTTTTTGTAGTTTACAGATTAAGGATGTTGTTTAGTAGTATTTTGTGCATCAAAGACGACTATGTTTTTATCTGAATTTTCACTCTACTATTAATTGGAAGAAACATATTCATCGCAATGAAATAGTATAAATTCCACTCGAATCTATGAAATTTGTCAACTCAGGCGACGGTGAAATTATGCGAGTGCACACTTTGAGGTGGTTGAATTGATGAATTGGTGTGTTTGTGTTGAATTTTGCGTTTGGCGAAATTGCAGATTATGTAATATGAATGTACATAAATGGCCATTAATATTGTGTCAATACACTCCGGGTCTGAGAGTGAGACTCGTGCCTTATTAGCGCGCTGCAGCCGTTCTGGGCCCGAGAGGGCATCGGAATGCCGGGGGAGAAGTGCAGCGCATCATGTGTCATGAGCACAATAAATGTAAATCCGATGACGATGACGCCGAGGGTTGCTTTCGCTACCGGGAGTGATGTGTGTGTCTGTGTGCAATAACACTAATTAGAGGACTGGTTTCAAATGGCAATCAGAGACACGAGGTGTCAGATACATTCATTAAATTTATTAAAATAGAATCCCATGCTCTTCATCATCTTACAGAACCAATCGCAATCGATGCTGGGCTTCAGCGTCGATCTCACAGCATTTGCGTTTGTGCGGCAAATGCTGTGTGGGTGTGATTTGGACGATGAATTTGCCATGCACAAAGGAATGGAACTAATGGGACAGGAAAATCTGGGCGAATATTTGCAGACGTGGAAACATAATTAAATTGATCCGTGCAGTGGCAAAAAGGAGTATACAATTTCACACGGCAAAACTCTTTCATCACCTCAATTCTATCACTTTTCATTACACACACTCGCTATTTCTATTCAACGGCTTGTTAGACGTACTTTTCCACCCCCTTTCGCAGCATTTCCACCTTTTATTTCCCCACATCAGCATATGAGTGGAAAGCTTTCACTCAGGCAGCTTTTATATTGCATGCGCCATTTACTTTCACAAACACCGCAATATTTCTGATTGCTAAAATCATAGCTAGAAAAGAAATATGAGACAAGATTTTTATTGTTAATCAAGTGTCAATTGAGAGAACACGAAAATTACAAAAATCAGAAGTCAAAAAATCATTGTTTATTTTAATTCTTTCCCTGATAACAATTTCTCAGCTGAATTCTCGCCATTCCTCCAAAGTCTGGGTCAATGATTCAGTGTGACGCGAGATTCCGCGCACGACAAATAAAGAACAAATGCTCTTATCAATTTCTCTACACCAGAGATAGTGATTTTTTCCCTCACGCACAGTGATAAACAATTTCTCTCGTTCTTCTCCGCGCCCACGCTTTGTTTTGTATATTGACAAGGCTGGAAAAAATATAAAGAAACGGCGGCGCGAAGAAATCTCCCATGAAGAAACCGGATGATGCATTAGCATTTAGTCAAATTTGTGATAATTGGACCAATTTATACTGGTATTTTTCTCGTCTAGCTAAAATGAGTGATTTGTGTTGCGAGCACACTTGAGAAATACACAAATCTTAAGTAAATATTCCACATTTCAAGCAATCGTGACAGAAGATTTTACACCATTCGTTGTCATGCTTCACTGTCAGCAACCCTCGCAAGTCACCCCTAAAATTGCCTGATGAATAAACATCCGGACGGTGGGAAAAGAACACTTTTGCAATTGCACAGCTAAAAAATGCGCTGAAATTGCTGAGATTGTGTGTGTGTGTGTGTTTTTTGACTTTCTAAGTAATGTCTTTTCGAGAACCCATTTGCCAGCCCTCCACTTTTTCCTCAGTCGCACAGCGTCTGGATGAAAGAGTGAGATGCTAATTAACGCCGCTGGATGCTTCTCCAAGAGGGTTTCTGGAGGAAACACCGGCAAAAAATGCCTTTAAACACTTGACGCGCAGTGCATGTGCGTTAATCTCATCGTCAGAAGCGGATTTAGCACTGACTCAGCCACATGTTGGCCTCAGTTTTTCGAGTAAACAAGCACCCACTTCAAAGAACAAATCTCAAATCCAATTATCCCTTAATTAGCCACCCCATTAATGCATTATTTAACACACAACTCCTGACTTGTGACAGCCTTTTGGCATCCTCTGTAATTTATTTTATTTTAAAAGACGCCTCACAGTGGCTTTTACGATTTGTTCGCCTATCGCTTAACTAATAATCGAAGGCCTTTCCAGCGGCAGAAGTGGAGAAAGTGTTGAAAAGTGTGGAAAGAATGTGATTGAGTTGACCTCAAGGCTGGAGAGAATTATCAGTACAATGCGAAGTGCGCGGAGAAAATCACGTCTCTTAAAATAAAATTCCCGCCACTGAGATTGAGAGAGAATTCGTCGGGAGAGCGGCTGAAAAGGTGGTAGAGAGTGTGAACGTCTTTTACGCGATGCCCGGGTAGCTCAGTGGCCAGAGCACTGGTCTCGTAAACCAGGGGTCGTGAGTTCAAACCTCACCTCGGGCAGCTTTTTTCCCCTTCGGTCGCTTTTTTACGCAATAATTCCCAATAATATGCAATCTGGAGGCCCTCAATAGTGCTCTAGTATTGAATTTAATCGCGAAAATGGCACTTTTCATCCAAAAAACCACCATGCAATTTCATGTGTCGTACGCAACTGGGTTTCATGCAACCGCTTGATTTTAAAACCAACGAAGGCAAACATCTTCTCAACCCTCAATGGCATCACACTGTGGATTTTCACAATTTTTCCACCACTCACGCTCCACCGAAGCCATTAAAAGATAATTAAATGTGAGAAAGTTAACTCTTTACAGCCGACGAAGTCACTTTGTTGGCTTGAAAGCGAGAAATGTTTCTCCGAAACTCACCCCCAAGAAGAGGCGCCCCACTCTCTCTCTCTCTCTCTCTCACTCTTGACCCAACTCGGACCCATTTCAAGCGATTACACATGTCGCGAGAGGGTGGCGAAAAACCACCACCACCCAAAACACTCCTGAAAATACGAGAAAAGTCCGTGAACGTGAGTTCGTTCTCAGCGGGTGTCTCACTCTCTGGATTTTTATCCGAGTGAACACGAATTCCCTCGCACAACCCCCGCGCACGGAACACATTTCAAGCGTATAAATCTTTCCCCGAAAAAAAAAGTTTGTGTATTGTTTTATCGCTCTTTTAGCTTTGTGAAAAGTTCTCTGTTTTCCACTCTTTTGCGCTATTTTTCTTCCTTCGCCCAGCGAAGCACAACTCCTTCTCTCTCATCATGTTATGTTCCCGGGCTCTCGAGATGTGAGAGTTGATTGCACTATTTGAACAACTTTTTGGAATGCTTATTGCAAATTTTGCGGCAGTTTTTCCACAACACACACCAGCAATCGTTGGAAATGTGATTTTCTGTAATGAGATGGAATGGCGACAATTTATGGTATTTATTTGGCTGAAGAGCACTCTGAAAACTTCTTTTGGGTGGTGAAAACCAATGAAAACAGTGATGAAAACTCCTGTTGCAAACCAGTTTGCTCACTGGTGAAACCTTGATTCCTTCAATATTTAGTGACACTCTATTGATTCTGAGGAACTCTTTGAAAACAATCAGAGGAAAACATGGCTTCTTTTCATCCTAAGAACTGATCAAATGATTTAGAAATGCGCTCAATTCTAAATAAAAGATAATGTATCACGAAACCAGTAACGATTATAAAAAAAAATAATTTCCAAAAGAATAAAACAAGATCATAACATTATGCTAGGCTTGCTACCTAACCTAGGGGGCGCAGACATCGCTCAAAAACGATTCGCCACTGCTTAAAAAGCACAATTAGAGTGAAAATCGATTGTTCTTGAGTGAATAAAAAAAACTTTCGTGGGCATTTTTCCTCTCTGAAAACTCACGAAAACTTTTCACGCGCCCGGAGAAACGCTAAATAGCGTTAATTACCCTCACCTCTATAGTTTCCTAATGGATTTTCCTCATTGTTTCTCTCTCTCTCTCTGTCTTGGCCAGAGTGGAGATTAAGGACGCAGGAAAAAAGTCGTGAGGGAAATGTAGTGGATTTTAATGAGCTCTCTCTCTCGCTTGCAGATGATGACGATGGATGTTACCAAAAGTGAGCCCCAATCTGGGGTTGGCGGAGGCGGAAATGGCCAGGCGACGAATCAATTGTGCGCCGGGTGTGGAAAACACATTCAGGATCGATATCTGTTGAGAGCCCTGGACATGCTGTGGCACGAGGATTGTCTCAAGTGCGGATGCTGTGATTGTAGATTAGGCGAGGTGGGCTCAACACTGTACACCAAAGGGAATCTCATGCTCTGCAAGCGCGACTATCTCAGGTGAGACGCTCGGGAGTGGCCAATTATGCTCCGTGACTAAATTGTTAATCCACCACTGGGACAGGCTGTTCGGCAACACGGGCTTCTGTGCGGCCTGCAACAAAGTCATCCCGGCATTCGAGATGGTCATGAGGGCCCGAAGCAATGTCTATCACTTGGAGTGCTTCGCCTGCCAGCAATGCAATCACAGGTAAATCAACACTCAACCCATGCCCGTGGCGAGCCACTATCGGAGCACATAATCGATAATTATCGCATTATGACACGTCAATAACTGCCAAAAGCATCCCCGGCCGAGGCAGCCGCACACGCCCGCCCCAAAGACGCCCGAAACGGCAATCACGACTGTGTCATTTTCAATTACATTTATTGCAATAATCATTAAACAATGTTGAGCTCCCCCGGCCATGGATTTCCATATGGTGAATTTAGAAAATTCACTCATGCAACATTTCCATGCCGATACACACTCGCGCTCAATTCGCCATGCAAAGGATTAATTCGGAAAATGGCAAAAGAGTCACATGGGAAAGCGCTATTGTCAGAATTTATCAAATAAACCATGAATATATCCCAGCATTTTTATACAAAATTCAATCCCCCACACACAGTTTGGCATGCATAAAAGCCATCCCGCAGTTATTTTCACGCACTAATGTAGACAATTGAGTGACTTTCCATCGGAAATTGGGAGGAAAAATATTTACAAAATATTTTTTACGCCTGTGTTATTTCACCATTGAGACCAAATTGATTGCATAATTGACTCTTTAGCATGACAGGAAATTGTTTGGATTTTTCAGTGCTCTTTCGCGGTTTGGAAAAATACAGCGTTCGGAAAGTTGATCCGTGGATTGAGCGATTAAAAAATGTTGCTTGACAAATTCCATGAAGATCTTTATTTGTTTTAAAGGGGAAGATGATATGTATGTCTAAAATCTGTACAAAATTTCCTAACACTCCAATAATTCGCTATGAGTCTAGGAAGAGACAAATATTTGAGTGAAAGATTGTATTTCCTGAACATCAATTGTAAACTAACTGAAATCTAACTTACAACATTATTACTGAGTTTTTCAAGCATTTTCCTTCCTCTTATCGCACTTTTGGTGTCTTCTTTGGCGATAATCTTTGAATGACATTGAATATTCTTAATAGATCTTAATTAGAATCTATCTAGCTCAAAATCACAGCTATTAAGTTTTTAAAAATCAAGGTTATGTTTGACTTTAGCGCTGTTTTTAGCCACTCAGCTTCCAGAATCACGATTTTTTTAGAAACAGATTTGTAAGAGAAACTGCAATAGAAATTCAATAATCCTGATACTTCTGCTGAGCAAACCAATGAAATTAGAGTTCTATAGCCAGGAAAATGTTGTAGTTCATGTAACTGATTGAATCAAAAAGCCGCTCATCCTTTTGTACCTCTATTTTTGACTCATTTGAATGAGCGATCATGTATTTGCCAACACACTGTGAGTGCAAAATGCATTGGATGTCGAATAGAAAATCCACCAAATGGTCAAAATACGTCTCCGTCCATTGAAAAAGCGGTGGAAAATCGAGTGAGAAAATGAGATAGAGTGTAATTGTGTTATTATGATAATTAATTGACACAAAGTGTGTGGTTTCATATTATTTTAACGCAATAATGCACCCCCGCGAATGCAATTGAATGGACTCGCGGGCCCTTCCGGGATTACCGCCGCGAGGGTTGGGCTGCAATTGGATATGTGGGTGTCCGTGGAGGAATTTGGCGTGAATCGAATTTCATTTCATCGGACACCAAACACACGGCCCGGAATGGTGGGATTTAGAGTGGCGTATTGGCACCATTATTGAACGATATACACTATTTTGGGCGCGGAGATTTGCACTCTCCTAAAATACTGTATGAATGCAATAGTATTCAATATATTGTGCGGCCGCAAAATCTGCTCCCCAGCCCCGCATCTAAAATTCTCTCGCGGAAATTCGCCAGCGTATAAATCATATTTAATTACCATATTTACAATTAATCTTTATACAAATACATCCACCCAGAGCGCACATACGGCAACAATGGCCAATTCGGCTGGCGCGCGAATTGGATTAATGGTTCAGGGGTTGTCGCGAAGGGGGACAGTTTGGTGGTCGGTTGAAATGGATGCAAATTGAATAGCCCGGACTTGTGTGATTTAATTCACGATCTCTAATGTGCATTTAATCCCCTCCGAAAGAGAAACGGAGAGTGGAAATCGCACCTTTTGTTGCTGTCTTGGAGCTGATTTTTCACACTCGCCCTCGCACACATCGCAACCCCTTTGTGTGCAATATTCATCGCATGTGACTCAAATGCCCACACATGAAACTAATATATTTTTCATAAAAATACTTTTTCCGCTCCTTCCAAAAAATATTTTCATCCACACAAACACACTTTCTGTCCGAATTGCAAATGAAAATGAATAATTCCTCTGGTCGAATACAAAAAAAATTACATATAAATTCTCTGTTACCAACAATCGCACCCTCAGAAAATTGTATAAACAAGTGTTCACCTATTTCATATATAAAAATATTCACGAGGAAACAATACCAGGGAATTTAAATGAAATATTCATAAACGACTCCCGTCGGGGTAGTTTTCTCGCACTCACAGAGTCACATTATTGCGATAAATTTACACTTTCCTCACACGTTTTCGCTGAAGAAATTGCCTTTCTCTGCTTTGCCGAAGATGGGAAATATTGGAAAAATTGAGTAGCACTTGAGATATGGATTATTTTTTTTGTGATTAAGCAACATTGGTCAGGATATTTCGATGAAAGGCCTGAGGAATGGTTTATTTCATTACACCCGGAAATATTGAGTTAAAATGCAATCAATCCAGCATTGCAACAACCACTCCTCGTCGCCTCACCGTCCACTGGACGGAAGGACGCAAAGATATTTTTTTTACGATTATTGGCTTCAATGTTAGCCGCATAAATAGTTGATTTTGGGTGGAAGTGAGAATTTGTCTCTTTTCAAATGATATCGAGTTTTTTCTTAAGTCAGAACGCAACCTAAACAGACTGCAATGGGGTTGAAATCACGTCTTTTGGTGTCTGAGACGACCATTTGGCTATCCTGCGCTTATTGCGAGCCTTTTTCGCTCCTCAATTTTTACTCGTGTGCTAGAGGGGCTGGTCCGAGTGTGCAGTTTGGAAATTAAACTGTGAATTGGGAATGATGAATTCCAAGGGTTGAGCCACCCCTTTGCAACGCATAGAGCAAAAATTGTATCCTGCGGCGATACACAAAACCACAACATTCTATTCTAAAATTTAACAGTCTCTGATTGAAGGTTGATACAAAATGTCCATGGCGTTTCGGGGAAAAAAATATCGCGGAAAGTCAGACTATGTTTTTTTTCGTGTGTGTGTGGCGAGGAAATTGACAGAAAATTTAATGCCTCGCCTCCCCTTGCAGGTTCTGCGTTGGCGATCGGTTCTACTTGTGCGAGAACAAAATCCTCTGCGAGTACGATTACGAGGAGCGACTGGTGTTTGCGTCCATGGCGAACCATCCGATGCTCAAGCGGCACGCCTCGTCCCTGAGCCAGAGCGTGCCGCCGCCCCCGCAGCAGCAGGGCCTCATGGGCCTGGGCCACCCTGGGGGCGGCAACGGGGCCCCCGTGGCGTCGATGGCGCAGATTGCGGGACAGCAGCGCCCGCCAGGAGATCACAACAACAACCAGAATGCCAACAATGCAGCCAATCAGTCCAACGGACCGCCGCCGCCGTTCGGGACGCCCAGTCACATGAAGCAGACACTCGGGACGTCAAGTTAAGTTGCTCACCAACTCAAAGTCTCCCCCGAAACACCACCCCAACTCCCCCCCAAGATGAGTGCTGGAGAAAGCAAGATCACCCCGAATCCATAAACGTGATTTCTTTTTCGTAAGAACCTCTCCGAAGCTCAAATTACTTCCAAAATGGAAAACACACACACACACCCGTTCATTAATGAATTCTAAATTGTTAAGACTATTAGTTTGTTGTTGTTATCTAATTATCTATAAATATAGTGAAGACGCGCGATACATTTCTTCAGGAAGAAACGATTATAATATAGAATTTTTCAAAATAAACATAATCTCTAGTCAAAGAGCAAAATATACTTCAACAAAGTAACTTGACTGCATTTCAAACCTATTGTATAACATTTTCAACTCTCTCCCTCTTCGATGATGACATATAATAGCTTTTTGGACAAATGCATCAAAAGATAATCTCAACGGAAAGACGGCAGTTGTATTCTTTGATAAATCAATTCATGTAAAACCCCACCGATTAAGTTAAACACCCAGAATAAAGACAAATTTGGTTGTTATTAATTTTTAAATGTATAAAAAGAAAATACCACTAGAGTAGCGCATTTAAAAGATGTATTTAAAAAGAAAAAAAAATAACTGTAGTGCGAGGTAAAAGAATTATATAATTATGACAAGGCAAGGAAGAGGAAAAAAAAACTCAATGTGGCATTGTAAATATCAAGTGGAATGGAGAAGAGACGAGGAAACCAAAGACAGTGAAATAAAATATGATGAAAAATTGAATGAAAACAGTGTATTTTCCATGATTGCCTCTTCGGTGGTGTGAATCCCTTTGCGCTCTCTCGCCCCTCATCAAGATGGACTTGAGGAGGAAAATGGCTTTATTGTGTGAAAGTCAATTGCCCCGAAGACACCCTCGCCGGCGGGGGCGGGGGGAATCTTTCTTGTGGAATTTGTCTCTATGACTTTGGGGGTGATTTCCCACCGCACACTCGAGTTTTGTCGTCTTCACAGTCATCTTCCATTATAAGTAAACGACTATTGTGTGTAATAAATTCATACACGAAAAGTTATATCAGACAGAAGTTCCATAAACACACATCTATCTCTGGAGCATTTAATATTATAAAGACCACCCTGAGGCTGTCAGTTGAAACCCACCCTCGAAACTTCTCGATTCGATTTCGCCCAGCTTCCAAGGAAATTCATACGCTCGAGACAAGAGACTGCGAGGCGTGCAAATGAGTGGAAATGTATGAAAGATTTGTGAAAATTAAGCGTCATGTCATTGGAAAATTCTAAGGGAAATCCCGGAAAATTGCACACCACGTTAGAAGCCTAACATCAACCATATCAATGGAGTGTGACTATCGATTTCGTATCGCTCTAAATGCGACATAATGACTTGAATTATTCTTTCCCCTCCTGAACAGCTCTCGTGAGTGTGCTGAATGTAAAGTTTACATCCCACTGAGACCATATTTCGAGTCCTCCTCCCCATCAGAATCCTTGACTCTGGCGGAAAATCCTTTCAAATCGCAGGCTTTGAAGGTGGAAATGACAAAATGATTGTACTGAAATTCGACAGTCTAATCTTCTGGGCAATTTTTCAGCCGGATTTGGCCAAATTCAAACAAACGTCTTCCAATTTATTACAATTAACAAAAACACCACGCATTGTGTGGATTACACGAGAGAGATCTTCAGCAAATAAACCAGAAAATTCACCGAGAATTCGATATGGCAATTTAACGCATTTTTATCCGCAACCCTTGTCGCTCACCCTCAATTTCACTCCACTCTGCGCGCCCCCATTGCTGCCGCTCAGTCGTGCTGTGATTTAAACACCGTCATGTTAAACATTCTGCGGTTGAAACAAATACTCGCGGATAGATAAGGTGTTATCACTGTAAAGCGACCAAATGGCTTCGTGCATTCGGGTGGACAAAAAAACTGGATGTATTTTGCGCTACCACCATGAATTCACTTCATCCCCCGCGCAATGCGCTTTTCCATGGCGCTGCACCCCACTTTTTCCACCTCTTTTGCAGACGAGAATTGGCACTTTTATCGGCTCTTTCTGTGTTTGCATTCACGTTGAAAATTCACAAAAATTTTCACCAAATATACCACCAAACTTGGCCTTCGTGCCAGGAAAAAAAAAACGTACACGAGTAAACTATTGCGACATTGTCGGCAGCAATGAGGGGTTAATCGATGAAAATGTCGAAAATTAAATTTCACACAATGTCTGCATTCACACTGGAAAAAATCTGTGCTGTTTGATAGGCAGATTCCTATTAGAACTTAAGAATAATGCCAGCTTTATAGGGAATTTCAATCAATTTCTACCAGAAATCTATCCTCGCAGATTTCCGTGTGCACCACAAATTAGCTTCAAGTCTCGTCATTGGCTTTCACTCAAAACCGCCTTCATTGAATATGATTTTATGGCGATGTGAACTCAACCGAGTCCGCACAATTAGTTGTATAAATGTCAAAATAGAATTACACACAACCCCAACTTCGAGTGGCAACTATAAATTGTTCACCTATTCATGAAGTCCATCTACCACCAGCTGTTTGATTAATTTTCCACCCTCTCGTGGACGTTTATCGTGATTCCTTAGCATTTTACGAGGGCATGACCACCCATTTTTATTGCCACACTGCAGCGTGAGGCAAACAATTTACCATGCTAAATGCTTGAAGACCTACTTCAAAAGGTTACACACAAAATCATTCACGCTAAATGGCAAATTTTCCAAGTCCCCCAGAATGGAAGTGAGATAAAAATGCGATTCTGTCGATATGTTCAAAAGTGTTGGGGGAGGAAATTAAGTCTGGCGTGGCGCGAGGCAGTAAAAACACCTTTTTTCCCTTAATCGATTGTCGCATTAGATGGGAAAACACACAGACACATTTTTCCACTCGTCCCACGGGAAAGATGCAAAGATTGAAGGGAAGAATGAGTTCAAGATGCTTCTGTGTACTTTGCCTGCCTTTGGGCGCTGTGTGTGGTTAGAAGAATTTCATCAGTTGCATGCGATTTATGTGCCTAATTCGCTTTTTTTCCAGACACTCACCGGAAAAGCATCACATCATTAAAGCGCAGTGAATATCTCATCATCAATTCTTCTTCCAATTGAACAATATGGCAAGAAAGTGGAAGAAAAAAGCGCCTCTGGGAGTCAAAAAGGGGGAATAAAAAGGCACCTCAGGCCAAGTATCTGGTGGAAATTATTCAGAAAGTTTGGCTCCGTGTCTTCTCTGTGCCATGTGGAGGCTTATCGCACAGCACATTGTAATGGGCTGTATATATGGTCTGGCAGTGAGCATTATCATCATCACAACATGAACTTCCTCCGCGCCGATGCTAAAGTTCCTCTACTGAGAATTTCTGAATTAATAAGGCTTCTTCCAAGCTAATGCCTATAACGACTTAAAGGAGAGTGTATAATTTGCATTTTATGTGCGTCTAAACCTCTGTGAAAATCATATTTGACTCCCTCGTGCAACTCGAGGGGGTGTTTTTCCACCCGATGAGGGCCATTTGCCTCCTCTCGACTATGTGTTGTGCTGTGTGATTAAGAACTTTATAAGTTTGTCCAATTTGTCTTGTACAAATTTGAGAGACTTTCAGATGCTCAAGCGATTGAGGAGAATTTTGGGCTGGAGCAGCGAAGGAAGGGGTAGAAAAGGTAATTTACTTAATTCCGAGGCTATGGCGCGAGAGAGTTTGAATGTCTTGAATTAAGACAATCAAATCTCTTAATCTTCAAAAGAGATGGAACAACGATTAATCTCAATTTTTAATACATTATATGAATTAATTTGTACAACAAACTCCCAGCGAGACACAGTTTATCCGCCCTTCTTCGCGTCTCTCCGTGCAAAATGTGCGTGTTTTTACCTCCGAGCCATTTTCGAGGGTGGGCGACGAATACAAAATAGCATCATCATCAAAATAATAAAAACTCCTTCCATTGACTCTCCTCACGCTCCTTTTTTTCGCCTCTCATTCACCTTTTTTCTCCTGTTCTTCCTCCACATTTATGTCTTATCATCAAGGAGTCGTTAGATCCACTTTCCTTCGCTTCATCCTATGGCAGCGAAAATGTCTCCCAAGTGATGCATCAGTGGAAAATTAACAGCACAACCACCGAAGCCCGTTTCGGTCGTTACAACCTCGTTACATTCCCTCAAGATTTTCCGGAGTGTGAGTCGCTGAGTGTGTGGAAAGAGGAAAAAAGCAAACAGACGAGTCGATAAGATTTCATTGAGTTCCGCAACTACACGCATAGAAAACATAGCGAAATGTTCTGATTTCCGTACATATTTTATAGTGTTTCCTTAAGTGAATTTTGGGAATAAAACCAATAAGATTTTATCAGCACAATCAATAATTTCTTCCACACCACAAAAGATACACAGAAATTCTTCCTGGATAAATATGCGTCAATTTCTGGTGATTCAGACAGTGTGTGAAAGAAATTCTTCCCATTTCTCACAGTGTACAGTCGTTGAGGATTCTTCGTGCTGATGCTGAGGGAAAAGAGTGCCTTAAGAATAGGAATTAGTGTTATTTCTCTCTGTGGAGTGTTTATTCTGTGACGACACAATATTTAAGACAATGCCTCTGGCCACCCTTTCCACGGCGTCCCAAGAGGGCGTGTCTGAAGGAAAAATGTCACATTTCTTAATCCTTCCCTCAAACTTTTCCTCTAATTGCATTTCCCTATTTGTCTTTTTGCCCATGTCTCAAAACCAACTCAAACGCTATTCAATTGTGGATATGTAATTAGATTTGTGTTGCGCTTTTATTTGTATGTGAAATGTTGCGTTTGAATTTCGCAAAGCACACATAATTGAATTAATTTCATTTTGTACCATGAGTAAATGAAGGAAATTCCTGAGAATCGTGATTTCTTCCCTATTTTATTCCACTCTCGTTTTTCTTTTGTATCATTTCAGCAAACCTGTGACTATTGAAAGACTGAGTTTGGGCGTCATTCAACAACCCTCCTAACGACCTACATTATAGTGTCTCCTTTTTCCATCGCCCACATAGTTGGCAAACAGTGGTTAAATAAGACATTTCATCCCTTCGGCCTCCCCAAAACAACCCTCATGAAGATTTTCTCAATGTGGCGGAATGAAAATGGTCTGTTTAGATTAGTCAAATGACCAGATTACGAGCAACAAAGAAAACCCAGTTGCTGTGCAATAGACACAAACTAACCCCAAACCTCTCGCCTTTTCCATGGCCGATTGCTTTGGGGTGCGGCGAGACACCAGTTGGTGGTCATTACACCGAGGGGCTCTCGACATTGAGGATATTTGTGAGGTTTGCCCCGCATTATTGGGGATGATTCGCCTCTCTCATCCAGAATCTGGGTTTATACTCAATTATCACACACTTCCACGAGGTGATGGAGATTTCATGTGCACATGTTTGCTGAGAAAATCCATGCATGGACGTCTTGGCCGGAGTGGAAACGAGAATGCCGAGAAACCAATTAAAATAATATGAAAATGGTGAGGAATAGCGCTTGCAGGAAAACTCCTGTGGATAAATCACCGAGATAAATCAGTTTAGAGATGGTGTTGCAGGAGAGATTTTAATTCAACCATGATCTGCAGGAAAACCCTTAAGTGGTGCCCTAATAGATTTTCCCATGAGAGCATTGCTGGGTGTGAGAGAGTGTCCGTCTGAAAAATGGTCAAGCCGCATAGAATATGTAATTAGAGGCGAACTGAAGGCACCCTTAGAGTAATTTGGGTGGTCG